CATCCAAATAAATTTTATTTTATGTGCATATACATAAAAAGATAACATGAATAGAATTCACATATTTTAAGCAAGAATCTTTGTTCAAGGTTCTGCTTCAATGTTCTGCACTCTTTCTAATGAAATACAATCTAATTAACCAGACTCCTGCCTGTTCCCCAATGCCTAAAGCCATCTCTCACCCATCTGCCTCTGACTTAAACTCCACTTATACACTCTAAACAGCTTGTCATCTCTCTCTGCCTGTAGAAGTCCTATAGTTCTTTAAGGACCCTCCCAGATCCTATTTCTACCTTAAGACTTTCCTAGATAGCCCCAGGCTAAATACACACCTATCTGTTATGTTCTACTGTTTTACTTCTATTGTTACTTATATCATTGTAGTCTGGGTTGTATTACAGTTTTTTTTATGTGTGTATGGGTGCATATTCCCACTAGATTGTGAATCTCAAGAGATTAGAACATAGTTTAATTTATCTGATATTGGCATGGCATTTTTCTTCACACATATTAAGCATTTAAGAGATGTTATTTGTGAGATTCATTACATGGGGTTGTACAGGTGGGGAACGACTCCCCACCCCGACTCTTACATACCATAGATCATTTGGGTGCATTTCTAAAACAAGACAAAACAAAAAAAGCAAAAGCAAAATCCTATAAAGTGAGTAGCTTATGTACAGAAGTACTCCCATTCTAACTGTGCTCTGTCCTGCAGAAAATGTCAGAATTACGTCCTCCCACTTCCGTTTTTCTTACTTTACTTATCAGATACATTTAGAAATGACTCACTTCGAAACTCTTCATGTGAAGTCAAATAGTAGTCAAAAGTGTAGATTTTATTTATCAACACAAATGAAGAGACAGAGGAAAGAGGAAGAGCTTAACAAATTTTCTAAACATACTTTATGACTTGATTGGTTAAATGTGAGAGCCAGACAATTCGTGGGGGCCTCCAGATCAGTACTGAAGCATCAGCTACTGTCACAGGATTTTGGTAAGAAAACTTAGATCCACTTGATGATTTGCACATAGCTTGTTTTGCTTATTACAGATAATGATTGGAGGGTTATTACCTTCTATTTCTCCTCATTTTTTCCCTAACTTATATTTCTTTTGTTTTTCTCCCCATAAGCACTTCTCTTTTTCTAAATATTTCACATTCGATTATCTTTGCTCTTAACATTTTCATTCTGAAACTAATAGTAAATTTTCATGTCATTTTACCCCCTTCTCTTAAATAGGCTGTTTTTCCTTCTGAACATTGATTTCAGATTCTCCCAATAGTTTTGTTTTTCAAATGACTGATTGCCTATTTTGTCTTTATATATGTATTTTCTCTCATTCCATTTCTTTCTTTTTTTCTTTTATCCTTTTATTTATTCCTTCTTGCTATTGACTTTGTAATCCTATCACTACTATTTGATTCTGGAATCTAATTTTCTTTTCCTATCATAGTAGAATTTTAGTTTCAGGATTTTATTTATCTTTTTAGTTGATGTCAGTCGATTCAGTATTAAAAGCTAAAATGTAAAAAATTCTCTCCTACCCTTAAGGGTAGAAGTATTTTTTAGTCAGAACACTTGGAAAAATGTAGAAAGTGATCTTGTTCTGAAAGACTTTTAAGACTTTGATTTATATATACTTTCATTTCAAAATAGATATTATGTAATATTTAAAATAGCTCCTGCCAGATGATTCAATTGCTTGATACTAAAATTTGGCTTGTGTCAGTCTTTATTACTTCCATTTGTGCAGCTCTCGGTACCTTTCCCCTTGTCAGCAAAACCAATGACTTTTTCATTTATGTGATTCTTTGTATTAAGTGTATTGGCCTGACAGTCATTGGACGTAGGATCTGAGAACCCTCCTAGTCGCATATATGTAAAAGTCACCTAATTTGCAGAGTATCAGAGTCAAAAACTGCAGAATAAGAGTAGAGACCAGGAGAGATGATTACTAAATTTCTTTTTAATCTTAGCATTCTGTGATTCTATCCTTCTCTCAATATTTTACGAATCTATGAATAACTATTTATTTTGAGTAGCACAGTGGATCAGGGTCACCGAAATGCACAACAGGAAAGGAAGGGACTCTGACAGGACTTGAATATTTGAGTAGGTAAGGCTACAAGAAAAGAAATGAGAATCACTTCTTTTTATTATTATCTTGTTGATTCAGTTATTTTAACTTCCGTTAATTATTTAAGACCCTATGACAACATTCGATTAACTCAGCAGAACTATTTTCTAGCCACAAAGTATTTTGGGCCTCTATAAGAGGAAACATAAATGCTGTTACAGCCAGTAAGAACTAGGAACTGGAAAACAAAAAAGAAGTTAAAAGAGACTGCATTTTTACTGGATTAAATGAATAAAACAAGAATTTTAAATTTAGTTGAAAAAAGTAAAAAAGTAAACCCCTAAAATGAGCATCTATCTATTCAATATTTAATGTTTATCTCATATAAGGCATTATGCTAAATTCTATGGAACAAGCATTTAGGAACAAGACTCATTTTTATCATAATGAAATTTAAAGCCAGTATGATAAATAAGACAGATACTAAAATAACTACAAGATAAAATGCATCATTGAACAGAGAATGTGAAAAGAGGTTCAAACTACGCACATACACGTGCGCACACACACACACACACACATATTTTAAGAGGCTGAAGAACTAATTTCTGATTGAGATTATTAGAGGAAGTTTCAAGGAAGATATAATATTTGAGCTTGATCTTGAAGAATAGCTAGGATTTTAACAGGTAGAGATTAAAAGTAGAAGAAAGAAGTTATGGTGAAGGACATAATTGCAGATAGAAGAAAATAGCATTAGTCGAGGAACAGAAAATGGCATTAACTTGAAATAGTGAGCTGTTCAGGAAAGCTGTAGAGTATGTTTATGAGAGTGTTCAGAATTAGGAGAAGGTAATGTCAGAGACCAAGAGAAGAGAGCGTTAAGGGGCCAATGTATCAAATGACACATATATTGTGGAGGATGACGACCGAGCAAAGAATGTTTGGATTTGTTATTTAGAAGTAATTTTAGTGGAGAATAGGGGCAGAAGACAAATTACACAGGGTTAAGAAGTGAATGGTGAGAACAAGAGACCCCCAAACAAGCCAGTATCCTTGAAAAAGAGAAACTAGGCTAAATTAAGAGACTTAAGAACCCTAACATCCTGATGCAAGTGTGATCCTATATTAGATGTAATTGTGGGCAAATCAGCTACAAAAGATATTTTTGGGAAAGTTGGAAAAAATTAAATATTGAGTATTCCTTAAGGCAGAAGTCCCCAACTTTTTTGGCTCCAGGGACCGGTGCTCCTATGAGAATCTAATGCCTGATGATCTGAGGTGGAGCTGAGGCAGTGATGCTAGCGCTGGGGAGTGGCTGCAAATACAGATGAAGCTTCACTTGCTGGCCTGCTGCTCACCTGCTGCTGTGCAGCTTGGTTCCTAACAAGCCACACACTGGTACCAGTTCAGCCCGGGAAGTGGGGACCCCTGCTTTAAGGTACAATCTTACTGTATAATGTGGAGACTGGTAACTGAAAAAAGAAAGCAGTTTATAAAATAATATATATTCACACCTATGTTCACAGAAGCATTATTCACAACAACTAAAAACAGAAGCAACTCAAATATCTATTGACAGATGAATGGATGACAAAATATGGTCTATACATACAATGGAATATTATTCAGCCTTAGTAAGGATGGAAATTCTGACACAGGCTACAACATGGATAAAAATTAAAGACATTATACTAAGTGAAATAAGCCATTCACAAGAAAATGAATGCTATATGATTCTACTTGTACCATAGTCAATCACCTAGAAATAGAAAATAGAATAGTAATTGTCAAGGGCTGGGGGAGAGGGAAGGGGAAATTGTTATCTAGGGTATGGAGTTTCAGTTTCGTAAAGTTAAAAAGTTTTGGAGATTGTGCAATAATGTGAATATATTTAACACTACTGAACTGTACACTTAAAAATGGTTAAGATGGTAAATTTCATGTTATATGTATTTTACAACAATTAAAAAATTTTAAAAACCAATATGCACAGTATGATCTAATTTTGTTACATTTTTCTTAACAAAAAATTTGCATACATAAATACGTGTGTGTGTATGTATATACATATACATAAAAGATCCAGAAGGATCTAAATGAGGGTGCTAAAGTTGTAATCACTGACATGGTATATGACATTTTTATCTTCTTATTTTTGCTTGCCTATATTTTCCAATTTTTCCTCATGCAAATATTCTGCTTTTGTAATAATAAAGCTATTGTTTTCATTATATTCATAAAAAAACAAATAAATAAGAAATAAATGATGGGTGATGAGGAAATCAATCCCAAGAAGGTAAACTTCTCTTGAGACATTGGATAGCAAAAGGAAAAGCTGAGGTTGCATCCAAAAGACATAACTGAATCTAGGACACCTTTTTCGGTGGTGTTGAGTCCTTTGAAAATCTGGGAGAGGGGATGGATGGAACTTCTGCTCTCAAAGAAATTAAAATATGTAAAGTTAAAATTTTTTGTATCATTTGAGGTGGTGATAGAGCTTGCCAAGGCCCTTTCATGGATCTCAAATTGGGAATCTCTGGTCTACAAGTTATTGTTTGTTTGTCCATTAGGCTCATTTTTTTTTTTTTAAATAGGGGTTATTAGGTAAGGAAAGAAACTAGAGGAGAATGAGAGATTGAAAGTGCAAGAAAAAGGAGAAATTTATGTTGATATGGACTTCCAAATGAGGTTATTATTTTGATGCACATTTAAATTGATACAATAGATTTTAAATGGTCTAGCAGAGAATGTTTTTGTGTGATCCAGTGTGAAGTCGAGGAACAAAAACTAACAACGTAAGGGACTTTGTGGTTCTACATCATCGTGTGGGAAAGTTAGAATACTAAGACTACTCATTTTAAAAAAGATAATGTTAGTTTAAATGTTTCTGTTCATCTTTTTGCAGGAGTTTAGCCATGGAGTCTCTCTCTGCTGAGACCAATTCAACGGACCTATCCTCACAACTCTGGGATGAACCCCAAGTAATTCTCTCTATGGTCATTCTCAGCCTTACTTTTTTATTGGGATTGCCAGGCAATGGGCTGGTGCTGTGGGTGGCTGGCCTAAAGATGCAGTGGACAGTGAACACAGTTTGGTTTCTCCATCTCACACTGGCAGACTTTCTCTGCTGCCTCTCCTTGCCCTTCTCCCTGGTTCACTTGGCTCTCCAAGGTCGCTGGCCTTATGGATGGCTCCTATGCAAGCTCATTCCCTCCATCGTCATCCTCAACATGTTTGCCAGCATCTTCCTGCGGACTGCCATTAGCCTAGACCGCTGTCTTTTGGTACTCAAGCCTATCTGGTGCCAGAATCACCGCAATGTGAGAACAGCCTTCGTTCTCTGTGGATGTATCTGGGTGGTGGCTTTTGTAATGTGTATACCAGTGTTCATATACCGGGAAATGTTCACTGTGGACAACCATAATATGTGTGGCTACAATTTTGGTGTCGATAGCTCATTAGATTATTCAGACTTCACCTTTGATCTACTGGAAAATGGGTCTCTTGACAACTCCATTTTTCAGCTGCCTGGAAAAATGGACGATAGGTTAGATGCTTTCTCTTTACAAACAAATGATCATCCTTGGACAGCTACCACTGTCCTCCATTCTCAAACACTTCAAAGACCTTCTGGAGATTCACTCCCTGTGGATTCAGCTAGATTATCTAGTCAACCTCCATATTATACTTTATTTAAACTTGATGATAAGGTCTCACCTACAATCCCCAGTGGGTTTCCCATCGATGATCACAGAACTAACCCACTGGATAACTCTGATGCTTTCCTCTCTACTGATTTAGAGCTTTTCTCTAGTGACTCTAGCAATTCCTTATACACGACTGAGCTATCCTGGACAGGTTTCCAGGATGATAATTTAGACCAGTTTCCATATGACAATCAAGTTCCAACACCCCTGGTGGCAATAACCATCACGAGGCTAGTGGTGGGTTTCCTGCTGCCCTTTATTGTCATGGTGACCTGTTATAGCCTCATTGTCTTTCGAATGCGACGGGGCCGCTTCACCAAGTCCAGGAGCAAAACCTTCCGAGTGGCCATGGTCGTTGTCATTGTCTTCCTTGTCTGCTGGGCCCCATACCACATTTTTGGTGTCCTCTCATTGTCTATTGACCCAGAAACTCCCTCTGGGGAGGCTCTGCTGTCCTGGGACCATGTGGCCATTGCTCTAGCATCTGCCAATAGTTGCTTCAATCCCTTCCTCTATGCCTTCATGGGGAAAGATTTTAGAAAGAAAGCAAAGCAGTCCATGCAGGGCATTCTAGAGGCAGCTTTCAGTGAGGACCTCACACATTCTACCAGCTGTACAACAAACAAAGTCTTTTCAGAAACAAACAGTAGAGTTGTGTGAAAATATGGAGTACTGACTCAAGCAGAGCTTATTAGGTATTCACCCAGTGTAACATGTTTCCAAAAGGATGAGGGACATACATGGTGAACAGGGGATTTAAGAAACTATCAAAGAATCAATCTAGAGGTGCTCAGAGTGTGGTCCCAAATTAGTGGCAACAGCAGCACGTGGAAATTTGTTAGAAATACAAAATCTCAAGCCCCACCCCAGACTTCTTAACAAGGTCTTGTTTCTGATGAATGCTAAATCTGAGTCATTGTAAAAATCAGTCTATTTCTATCCCAAACTAATCCACCTGGGATAAATCTATTGTGAAAGGATATTTCCATCATTAAATTTTCTATTTAGTATATCTAAATTCCCTTCTAGATTCATTTTAAAACAATTTCTTCTAGTTCTGAGTGAAAGATGACCATTTATTCTATGGCTTTGTGGTTATGCTGCTGATGGTAGCGGGGATGGTTTTAAATAAAAAGAAGGTGCAAGAAAAAAAATGTCTGTGAAAACGAGGATTTATGAGACTGAGTCTGGAGCAGAGTACAATGCCAGATGCTTCCTATTTGGGATACTCATGGATATAGAACATAGAAATTCTAAGTTTCCATTATTACAACTAAATAAGCATCTCTTGTGTAAAGACAGACTACTGGGCATCTAAAAACTTACTCACGAACTGGTATGTAAGCTGCTGTTTGGGGAGTTCTCCTGTCTATTTGTTTATTATTCTATCTGCTTATTGATAGAGCCATCTACCTTTCACTTCTTGTCTTAAACTCAATTCCCTTATTCCTCCCCTACCTGTAAGTTTCCTTCCACATTAGACTGTACATCTACTAACCTCTAATTTCAAAAGTTTCAAATCATTGAAAAATGACTGAATACCCTTCAAGAATACCATCAAACTTATTAAAGCATGACTATAGGTGTGTATCACGCTAAAATTATCAGATAATATCTTTAGGTTTTTAAAATTAATTTTTATCTTTACCAAAATAATACATGCACACAATTTAAAGACAATTCAAGGTTTATGTTGAAATATAAGAAGTTGCATGCCCCACTCTGCCCAACCACTCCCTCCCATTTCCCAGAAGTAAACCTCGCAACAATTTTAGATGTTTCTTCTAATATCTACCATATTTCTAAGTAACGTGCTTATGCTAATAGTTTTTGTAGACATGATAAAATGGCTTATTTTGAAAGATGAAGAATTTTATCCATACACGTTCATATTTTTTGTTTATCCATTTTCTTAATATTCATTAACCATCATACTTTAATTCATTCATGACCATTTTCTTCCACTTTATCTATCCCAACCATTATATATCGTTTTCCTCTCTTTTCATTTTGTAAGAGCATTGTTCAACTCCGTATCACCTTCTCATTTTCTCTATATAAAGCTGTGTTAAAACTCAAAAATTTCAGGTTTGCCTGTACTACAACAGAGCTTCATATAAGCTGAATACAATAATTTAATCTAAAAATAGAAAATGAGAAGTTTAAACTTGCAATGGTTGAGGTGAGGGTCTGGACTACAAATTTGTTATAAAGTGCTATATGGAAAATTTCAAATAACTAAGAATTCTTTTACTTGTAAGGTAATGTCTGATGCGATGTATATTTGCAATGCTACCTTCCAATTTAATCTGCTTATATACTTGATGCGAATAAATGCTTTCTTTCTTATGGTTCATTACAAGGCTTGGAGATTCGTGGATCCTTTTAATTGTTTGACATTCAGAATATATCATAATCTCTAAATATGCAGCAAATAAATCTCCTAGTGGGTAACTGTAGGCTTGTTCTAATGGCAATTAAGTAGCCTTCTGGAAATCTCAACACATCTCACAAGATCCTGGGTATTAGTTCCAAACTTCTGGGGTTAATATGTAGGATATTAGGATAAATGAATTTGGCATAGTTACAAAAATTCAATAGCTGGCATTTCCCAACTCCTTTTGAGAGCACCATTTGCCTTAGAAATTGGAATTCCTTCATTTTTAATGAAAAACTCTCCTGAGTACCTGTAAATACTCACAGGAAGTCCCAAATTGGGACCCATCTCCTCCCCAAATTGCAGTATTTTAATTTTTTAAAATATCTCAGAATGCAAGGTGGCCTTGTCCACATACCAAACTGCAAAGAGTGACTGCCTCTCCCAATGGTATTTCACTATCTTTAATAGCATGTGAAAAGGGGAATGTTAATGGCATGTTTCAAATTCTTCTCTCCTATCAATCTTACAAAAAAATTCCGGTCAACTAAACAAAACTTGTAGTGTAAGGTCGGGGAGGGGCAAAAGACTAATTGAAAACAAATGTTTCACATTTCTCCCTTCCTATCCTGGCAAAAAGAAATTTGAGGCCAGCACCAAAAAAATAATACCAGAAACATTCTTTTTTGTTTTTATTAAGAAAGCATGCAAAAAAAAAAACAACAACTTGTGAGACCATACCCCCCACTTCCCAGCCTGCACCAACGCAAAGCATATGGGTGGTATGAAGGACTCACCAAACCAGAAACATAGGGGTTGAAGAGAGGAAGGCAGGGATGGGTGGATCTATACCAAATAATTGTTCCTTCTATCTTTCTCCTCCACTTTCTCCCTTATTTCCTCTTGCAGGCAGTGAGCTCCTGCAGTTTTGCACACATCACCCAATATAACAACAATGACTATACTTCAAGTCCAGCAGTGCTGAACTAACATGAAAAAGTAGTAGTATTCCATTTCAGGGGGGGTGGGACTGAGGCCCAAATAGGGTCAGGTTTGTCCTGTGCCATTGAGCAAGACTGAGTTTAGTGGAGGGGAGCTAAAATCCCACGGGGCCTGATGGCCAATCTCCAGCCCTAACCTCAAATTTCACCAGAGTTCTTAATGAGACTAGTTTTAAGACACAGATGAATTATGATCAAGGGACATTTACATGTATGATTTAGTCTACCCTTGTGAACCCTGTCTGGATCTGAGTAGAAAAGGGTTTCAGAAAAGAGGAGTGATAATATGTAAAGGAGACATTTTAGGGAGAACAGATGGGAAGTTGTGTGCAGGAGGCACCTTGATTGGAAAGAATATGGAAAAGATGCCTAAAATAGGGAAACCAGGCAAAGGCATTTTGCTACCCTCTAAGAGAAATTCTCCTTTCCCCAACGCGAAATATTATGTCATACTTCAACTCCACTAACTGCCCTCCAACACGATGGGGGATTCAAGCCACTCATGCCCCTATCTCTTACGAAGAACTTCAAAGAAATAAAGTGCTCTTTAATCAATTGCCCTTTCTTGACCCTTTACTTCAGCCTCACTGGACCTCTTCAACTCCCTTACAAAGAAAAGAAGGGGTGGATGAGGGGGGAAAGCAGGAGAGTGAAAAGCTAAATCTCTTGGAAATCATCAGGAAATGAAAGAATATGAACAAAAAGCAGAAATCACAGAGAGAGCAGCCTTGTCCATTCTGTACATTTTGTCCTGTAGCTTTCAGAAAGTAAATGTTCAGTGAAATAGCAACAGAAGTAAAATTGTTCTTCCCTTCCATAATTAAATTCAACAATTAACATTAAATATACACTAAGTACTTTGCAGCAAAATCATGGCCACTCCTTATTAAAGGAGATAAGTTATCCTTATACCTTTTTCTGGGGGTCTCTCTTGGGCCCTACTGAACTCTTCCCTCTAGATTATGTACTCCACACTACTAATTTCCTTCACCCCTCAACAGTCTACTGTAAAAGCTTCAGCCCCAATGATCTGGATTCCAAGAGAAGCATTTGTCTACATAGTTAAATAACTGAAATATTCCCTACCCGTATCTATGCCAGGTCCATTTTCCTTTGCCCACCCTCCTACCACCGATTAGGTTTGGTTCTGCTGATAGATAAAAAAGAGATTCCCATCCTGTCCTGGGACATGACGAAAGCAAGAGTGATAGTGGCTTACTTTTCTATCTTGAGAATGCCAGAAAATGAGGGAAGAAAATGAAGTGGGTAGAAGAGGTGAGCAAACCACCAAAGGAGGACAATATTTGCTGGATGGGAAAAGAGGTTTGAAGGATAATTTGTAAATGCAAATAAGAGCCACAGTTAATTTTCAGAGAAAATTTGTTTAAAAAGGCAAAATGGTTCAACTGAAAACATCTCCAAAAGACCGACCTTAGCTGAATAGCTGTCCTCATCTCCACCATAGCAACAGAATTCCGGCTCAGACCCACCCTGTCTCCCATAGAGAATGCGCTAGGATAAAGCGAATGGATGTTTATTTGACGCAGTGTTAGATGCCCAATTTCCAAATATTTTACAGTATTCTACTCAACCCACCCCAGGCCTCTTATTCCTCTAGGATTTTGTTGTCACCCTCTGGCACCACCACTTTCACTCTGACCCTTGATGGGGCATGAGGATCAGCAGAAGTAAGGAGCAAAGATATAAAGGGACAAGGAAGAGCTCAGAGGACAAAATTAGCACCATTGAGTAAAACCTGCAAAGTTGTGGCTGCCAAGCAGTGTTTGAGATCCCTTCTACTTGATAATGTGGCCTCTCCAGTCCTGGACTGAATTAATAAGAACAGAAAACAAATTAGGGCCAAAAGGTGGGATTAGCATTGACTTTCTCTGAGAGAAAGGTAAATCAGACTTTGAAATCTTTCTCTGTACCTATCATTGCCTCACTTTCCAGCCAGATAATTTTAAATTAGCAAGGGGTGGACACAGTCCATAGTATAGGGACAGGAGACAGGGGACAGCATATAACCAATAATAATAATAATAATAATATAATAAGAATAATAATAAAAGAATTAGGGAAAAAAAAAAACAAGAAGGAAGAGGAAGAACAAGGCAGGAAATGGGTTATCTTCGGCAGCATCTTGCGGTGGCTTCTCTGACAGAGAAAGAAAAAAAAGAGGATATATATATATATCTACATATATATATCTCTCTCTATATATAGATATATATATAGATATATATATATATATATATATATGCAAGGTGGGGAGTGATGGGCTAGGGCTGCTCTCTCCCCACTGCCAGGCTTCACCACCCAGCCCTGGGCTGAGGGACACACTCTATGATGCACTAAGTGATCAAGTCCCAATCGAAGTCATCGGGGATCTCCTCATTGGCACCAGGAGGTGGAACTGTTGGCCGAGGGACCATATGGTGTGCTGTCAGGAAGAAAGAAAGAGATTTTAAAAACGAGTGGATGGGATGCTATCTATCAGGTAGATGGACAGAGCTCAACCCCAAATAAAACCATGAGAATCGTCTGGTGAGGCCCCAGGAAATAAACTATAGTAAATTAGGTCCCATGACAATATAATAGTATGCAGCCATTAACACTTATACTTATGAAGACTGTGTAATAATGCCAAAAAACATACAGAACACACTATTATATGAAATAGCAGTACAGAAATTGGTGTATGTATTATATGGACAAGGAATACATGAACAAAGAGTCAGATGTTACCCAAAAACCTGAAAACACTTGTGGTTTGGCAGGATGATATTAGTGATTTTTCTAAAATGTATTTAAAGGTGAAGGGTCTGTTCAGTTTGTACTATTTATGGTAATTTAGGGTCTCCCCTGCCTTCCTACCATCAGAGATGGTTCAATCCCAGACCCCCAGTAGTAAAGGTCAGGCGACAGGAAAGCAGACAAGGGCACAAAGCAGGTATGTTTGCATACCATGTTCATTTTATTTGTCTGAGTATATCTCTCAGATTCCAAAGTTAGACATAAACGTCCTACATATCCATCTTTTGTTTACATTCATGCTTTTAATTCCTTTCATTATTGCAGGTACCAGCTAATTTTAAAGTAAATCAGTCTTCTTTAGTCTCCTATGACATACACCTCCTTAGCAGGTGGCCCACCCTCTAGCCTTGGGAATCATGAAGGCTCACCTCTGCCAGCAGATGCAGACGAAAAGACAGAGAATGCAGCCTCAGAGCCAGAGGAAAGTGAAACAACTTGTCAGGGTAGACAGCGTTTGCTTGGTGGTGAAACAAGTTTCCTGGCTCTTACCTGGGCGGTTGTATCCTGCTGAGTCCTGGGTAGGGATTGGATACATTGGTGATGGGCCAGGGTAGAGGTGGGGAGCTTGTGGGTGCCCATAAGAGTTCACTGCCAAAGAAGACAAGAGTTACTTGAGTGAGATCATTATATTCAATAAAGCAGGGTCCAGTAGACAGGGGGAAAACAATACTCTTCCTCCCCTTAATTTCTTCTCCCTTCCTTGCCCTGTTCTGTAGCTCTTGTGGGCATAAAGCCTTTCTGAAGAAGCTATCAGTCCTCACCACTTAGGGTAAAAAGGAACCAGATACCAGAACTGTGAAAGATCACAGCTATTAGAAGAATGACAAATATATAAACAGGATCACTGAATCTCATGTCACTGGTTTGAAGATCATATAATGGTAGAGAGTCATAACTTCACCTGATATCATCCAGATAGGGGTTACTGAGACACAGATTTGAAATGGACACCTTCTCCTCCCTCTTCTTCTGTAATCCTAATCTCCCAAATCAAGGTCTAAAAAGGAATCATGTGGTTTATTTCTTTGGCATTTTTTAGCATCTACCGATATAAGAGATGTCCGGCCAATGTGGTGGACAAATCAGGCCCACTGCTCGGTTTGGATCTTGCCCATAAGATAATTTTTCTCAATTCTTCTCTGTCCTTCTCCTCTCTGTCTTCATCAGAGTCTCTACCTTTTTGGCCACTTGCTTTGTTCAGTACCTTGGTTCAGGGCTGCTTCTTGTTTGCCGCTGGTGAGGGCACAGGAGTCAGCAATACGGGCAGGAGCTGGTGGCCTATGGGAGCTCCCTTGCGGGGGCACATGACCAGTCTGAGTAAGGAAGTGGTTGAGGGAGTCACACAGATTGGCAATGTGATGCTGGTCGAGGCTCCAGTTCTTCTGCTCTGCCTGTCGCAGACTCTCCATTAGTTCTACAAACAGAAAAGTAAGAAATGCTAGCCTTGCAGAGGCCCCAGACCCCCTACCATCTATCCTATCTCACTGTTCCAACCACATCATAAATCAACTCCACTGATTATACCCATTACTAATAATAACTGGCATCTGTTAGAGCTCCACATTATCAAACTCTCATTCCATTCGTTTGTTAATAAATTATTACAATTTCCATCTTACTAATGAATAAAACAAAATTTCAAAGTGGCTGAATGAATTAGCCATAATCGCACTGTCAGTAAATGGTGACAAAACTATAAAATAGTGGTCCAGGTTTTCTGAATTCCTGAGAGCCTTCTCTCTCCCAGAGACAGAATTGGCTAGAATAAACCACTGCCATATTTTGAGTTAAGGCAAAATTAATTACAATTAATTTGCAAATAATATCAATATTATCCACCTTGTAAAATATGGAGGGGAAACAATAAAATGTTCAGTCCTCAAACTTCACTTAATCATCCCCTTCTGTTCTGGTTTGTTTTGGATTTTCCCACTTACCATGTACCCTTTTTTCCCTCAGTCATCATCCTTTGATCACTAACCTGAGAACTGTGACTGCTCAATGCTGGACCAATTGAGCCGATTCACCATCTTGAAGCTTTCCTTTAAGGAGTCGATACTGGAGCACCAGTCAGGAGGAAAGGCTGTAAAGAAGAGGGCGAAGTGGGAATAACATAGAGTCAAGTGTAAGACGGCAGCCAAATAATAGCAGACTGACTACAAGCAAGATTCTTGCATTTATACAGGTTATCGATTGCATTACCAAGATAATTTTGGAATCTCCCTCCCTGGAGATTTAAGATGAGTAAAGATATCTATACTTTATGCGTTAGGTGTTGATGGCCCAGCTCATAGGCAGGAGAATATGTAAAACAATCCCCATGATTTCTTCAAGAATTCTATAATACAGAGCTCGAAGTAGCAACTTTTGTTGGCTCAGGTGAGCTCTCGTGGAGGAACGAGGCTAAAAGACTCACTATTAACTTCCTAATAAATTGCACCTCCATGCCAGGGTCAGAACAAGGATCTCCCTGCATCCTCCTTACTCACCAAAACCAGTACTGTTGATAGGAGCCTGGCCTTGTGCCTGTGGCTGTGGTGGTGGTGGCTGCTGGGCGGGGTGGGGGTGGGGATGGTGCTGATGAGGGTGGTAGCCTCCGTGCTGCAGCGGGGGTGGATGCATGGCCATCACAGAGGGAGGCCCATAGCCTTCAGCCCCAGCTTGCTTTCCCCCTGGTGGGGTACAACCATCTGGGCTTGGGGTGTGTAGTGGAGGGGCACCCCCGACAGTTGAGGGGCCCTGGGCTGGTGCCTGCTGCTGCTGTGGCTGTGATTGTTGGGTCTGTGGCGGCGGCGGCGGTGGCTGCTGTTGAGGTGGTGGCTGCTGCTGCTGGTACATGTAGTAGTTGTTAGAGGGTGGCATGTCCCCCAGGAGAGACGAAAAGCCTGCGGGGTGGGAGGAAACAGGTGAGTGACTTGGGTGATGTATTTTTCACTCAACAGGATTTCCACTGGGTTGAGGTGGGTGGCCTCAGACAGAAACCACAGACTTCAAAGGCTAAGGTGTTCTGGGACAGCTTGGCCCCTCTCGGCCCCCTCTTTGGTAGGTAAAACAGACAAAGGAAGGGCGCTGACAGTGTGGCGGCCACTGATATTTTAGCAAAAAGGGCAATATGTACTTTTTTGTGCTATTTTACAGGGATTTGGGTGTAGCCCTGTAACCACAGTTTCAAAAGAAACCAGAGGTTAGGTAAAGTTTAAAAGTAAATTATAAAGGAAACAAAGCCATTGAACACCTATCTTCTCCTCCTTCTTATTGTCTCTACACCCTTCTACTTTTCCTACCACCTTCTCGTATTCACTAGTAACAAATGGAGCTGTGGTGAGGAGTGGAGTAGGGATGGACGAATTTCTCAAATAGATCGGGCAAGGAAGGACTAGAGATTGAGGCTAGGGGCTTTCGGCCACCATTACATTCGAGTGAACACTTTGCTATCCTTGCTCAATCTAATTTTTTACTTTGTTTTTGAGAGCCCCTCCATGGTCCCCACTGCTAACCAACCAATCACCTGAGTTGGACTCATTTCTCAAGCAAATGCTACAATCTCGGAACACAACTCTAGATATGAATCTTCTTGGATATAAAAGTAATTCACGACAATTAATAGAAATTTTCCAAAAAGTGACTCCTAACCGCTTTTAATCATTTCATTTGTCTCCTGCTGCCTATACAAGGCCATAATATAGAACGAGGTCTGATGACTCACCTGAAATCTTGAATTCACTCCTATCTCTAATTTCTTTAAAAGTAAACCAAAACAAAACCTAGAAATTATAGAGGGCTAAACCAGGTATTCTCTCAAAGAGCCTCCTAATAAGGACTTTAAATCACTTTTACATCATAATTCAGGAAATTGAGTATGGATAAGATATAAACTGATAGTAGGAAGGCTTGTTAATTGTGTTAGGAGTGATCATGGAAATGGATAACTTAAAAAAAAGCCTTTATAATTAACGATGCATACTGAAAGAGTATTTACAAGTAGGATGGCATGTCTGAGAATTGCATCCAATTACTTCACTTGAAAACAAAGCTAGGGGTAAGTGAAACAAGCTTAACAAAATACTGGTAACTGTTAAAGTTGGGTTATGGAAACATGACGATTTATACACTATTTTCTCTATTTTTGCATCTGTTTGAAATTTTTCCTAATAAAAATTCACATAAATATAAATATGCTAAAGAATAAAATTAAATTGTTCTCGCAATGAAACACAG